CTATTTAGACACAATTACGCGTTATAAACGTGTTTTTATGCATTTAAACCTCGTTAAGAATACTAATGCACCTTTCTGAAACAGTTTATTTAAAAAAAAAAAAAAACGATCGATTTCAAACCAGAACCAAGTCATTCGGTGTCATCATCACCGGCACGAGGTATCACGTGAAAATTTTGCGTCCCTGATTGGATGCAGCCGCTTCAAACGTATTCGAATTGCTCCGAGTTGCTTGCTTATTTCGAGCCGGACCCAATCTCAGCAATTCGTGCCGATCTAGGGAAAGCTAGAGAACAACCCACCATTAACACCAAAATTGCTGAGAAAGATGCTCGATCTGAAGGGGGCCTCACGCACTCACCGCCTTCACGCACTCATCGCCCTCACACACCTCATGCACTCACCGCCCTCACGGCCCTCACGCCTCTCATGCCACTCACTGCCCTCACGCACTCATGGCCCTCACACCCCTCACGCACTCACCGCCCTCACACCACTCACGCACTCATGGCCCTCACGCCACTCACCGCCCTCAAGCCCCTCACGCACTCATTACCCTCACCGCCCTCACGGCCCTCCCCGCCCTCACAGCCCTCGCGGCCCTCACAGCCCTCACGGCCCTCACCGCCCTCACGGCCCTCACGGCCCTCACCGCCCTCACAGCCCTCACGGCCCTCACAGCCCTCACGGCCCTCACCGCCCTCACCGCCCTCACCGCCCTCACCGCCCTCACAGCCCTCACAGCCCTCACTCACCCTCACACTCATGAATTTTCCTGGTTCAGAAACTCACTCACCCTCACCTCACCTGTGAAGATGAGGGTGAGTGAGGGTGAGTGAGGGCCCTCATGAGTGAGGGCCCTCATGAGTGAGGTTTGCCGAGGTATGCTCTCTCTGTCTCTTTCTGTCAGCAATAAACGAACAAACTCCTTAGATGGCCTAACACCCCCTTCCCCGTCCCCCCCCTTATGTTGACAGTTGACCGTAAAGAGGCGGGGTTAGTCGACCACCATGCCCAGAGAAGTAAACCAAAAGAAGTATCGTCCGTGCCCTTGAAGACGATGCTCGTAGCCTCGCGTCGGGCGCTTTTCAGCCGTGCCTCAAGAACGTGCTAGAATAAAGTAGCGCATATCAAAGACAAAGAGAATTCGACCCCCTGGCATGAGGCTACATCGTCTGTTACGTGAGTTGTGAACCCGCGAATCGAGGTCGGTACGGACCCGCGTTTGATGTTTGTGCGGGTGGCGGGAGACGTCGAAGAAGTTGGAAATTGTGACATGGTGTAAAAAATAAAAGCAAATAAACTCGAAGAGCTTTCTCCTGTTCGGGAGAAGAAAAACACGACGGAAACGGATCAAGTAAGACAACGGTGTTGTCTTACTTGATCTTTGTCTCTCGTATATTTGTACATGACTTGCCCGTTTTTCTAGTGGTTCTAGTCCACGCTCATACAAAAAATTGTGTTTTCTTTCCGGCGACTCTCCCCCTTCTGATGTTTTCCATTTTGTTGAACTTGACGTCTTTATGCTGCTGCGTGTTTTGCTCGTATTGCTCTAGTTACTGTATTATGCTCATATTTATAAAAACTACCGAGTAATTAAAGTAATCCGCTACAAATATTTTGTAACGACATAACATTACAAATTACTTCCGAAAAAAAGTGACGTGGAATTTACAAATTACTTGAAAAAGTAATGAATTACAATTAATCCGTTACTTGTAACGGATTACTTCTTAAGTCTGCCCTGGAGTAAGATCGAGAAAAGTCTCGAATACAGCCCCTGACCTCCCTCTGCCCGAGTAGCTCACGATGGCCTTGCTGACTGTTTGGGAGGAGTCAGTGTGTAGAGAGAATGGCGGCTAGCTTTTGTGAGAGGTGCGTGTGATTTATCACGTGCACAGGAAAGACCAGATTGCGCAGAACAGGGCGTGCAGACATCAGGCAGATTGTTGTCAAGAGCTTGAAAGGACCACTCCAGGTGAAATTTGATATTTCGTCGAGTACCTGGAGGTCAAAACTATTTTCAGTAACGGAGCGCAGCTCTTAGGCTCCCGTTTCCGGCTTGAGCGGAGTCACCGTCACCGTCGGCGTAACCGCGCGTAACCCTCGTAACCCTCAGGAGGTTGACGAGGGTTAGTTTCCCTCAAAAGGGTTACCCTCATGAGGGTCATGAGGCTCTCGAGACGTACACTCACGAGGGTCGCGAGGGTTATGAGAGTTACCCTCGCGAGGGTCACGAGGGTTACCCAGGGTTACTAGGGTTACCCTCACGTGGGTTACCCTCACGAGGGTCACGAGTGTTACCCTCACGAGGGTCATGAGTGTTACCCCCAGAGGTCACGTGACCCCCCTGATGTCACGTGACGCCCTCCCCCTAAGGTCACGTGACCCCTCATCCCCTGAGGTCACGTGACCTCAGGGAGGCACATAACCCTCAATACCTTTCCATCCAATACTTGAGTACCCTTCCATCCTCCTCCTCATGAGCTGCGCTCTATTCCGGCCTTACAAGGAGTTGTAAACGGTTTTCATTTTTTTAAACTGTTTTTTATGCCTACTTTAATAAAAAACGATGAAAGTTTTTTTTTTTTTTTAGCGCGCGTTCTGTTTGTTTTTGGGAACCGCCTCTTACGCGTATAAACAAATGCGCGGTTTACAAACAAGTCCCCCGTTTTGTCACACCAGGTGTGGCCACTGAGCGTGTGCAGAGCCAGAATCACGTGAGGTGAAGCGCCCGCACATGCGCCGACAGTAGCACCACCGCAGCGGCGGGACGTCAGGGCCTCGTGTTGGTGTATAATAAGCGTGCGAAGATGCATACATTGCCAGTGGTCAAATGAACGTTCCCAGATCAGTGTCCTCGAAATTGTATATTACATTCCTAAAACCAAGAGAGTGCTTTCATGGTGCCGCGAAAGCAAACCAATGTTTTGCTCTACAGCTAGTTTTTAGCTAGAGTGACCCTTTAGCTTTCAGTGCACGTGCAACATGACCAACATGAAAACAGTAGAGATGCAAAGAACATCACACACATGCACACAACCCTCTGCCAGGAAATATACACATATCAGGCGAATGTTCCCATATCAGCAACAAAGTAGAAAGAGATGCGTCTTGAGAAATAGGAAGAAAGAAGAGCCCACCTTCACCGTCAGCACCCAGGAGATATCTTGGTCGCCAACTACGTCACGTCCGTTTCAAACAAGTGACCACCAGAAGTTGATGGCGTCACAGGGAAAGGTTAGTAGCGTGCGAGAAGCAGAACTGCAGTTTAACCCAATAATCGACACTCCGGTTTAGTAGACACGAGTCCTACCGTCTGGAGGTAATGATGGCTTTTGGAAATATCATTTTTTGTAATAATCCGATGTCCAGACACCAGTGCAACTGCGCAACCATCGGCTCAATTTCAGCGCAATGAACGCATGATCGGTGTTTTACCATTTTTGGTTTTACCAGTGGAGTCAGGAAGCCTAAACGTATGAGTGTCAAGGGCAGTGTCGGTGCTTTTTCTAAAGTCAGAGCGTCGTGATCAAACGCAGGCACACACAAATACATGCGCGACGTTGGGTGGTTTACCGCCACCACCAGGGACAGTTTCCGCCAGGTGTGAGTGAGAAGAAGAGAGACGCTATCGACAGTGGACGAATCGTGCGTAGTTTAATGTCCACATTGATGCGGATGAAAGGTGTTAGAAGACAGTACACCCAAAAGAAAGACACGTAATTAGATCACTATATACAGTCGTCGGTGACATGAGCCGCTCCTTCTGGACAGTGGTCAGGATGTCATACAAGGCGCTGCGGTCAAAACAGGAGCAATGTTATGACGTTAGGGTGAACTTGTTCGTTCCCCAGCTTTAAACGACAAGGTTTATTGGGTGTTTAATATTTAACAATAGTTTAGTTTTGTGAGATATATTTATAGTATAAGTCCTGCCAATAATTTCTTGATTTTCCCGCTATGTTGAAGATAAAACAGCTCTGTGATCAGAGTCTCAGGGCGCCGCAGCGACTGAAGCTCTCCATGTAACGTTTTGACCTGAATGATTGCATGCTCAGACGAAGAGACACATGCGAGTACCCATATCAGTCAACCCTCGCAAAAAAAAAAAAAAATAATTGACGGAGTATAACATGCCGCCACCACCACCACCACGTATAGAGCGAAGGAAAAGTACCAAAGCGTAAATATGTAAACAATGGGAATAATGAAGTCGAATGTGGGTGGTGTGTGTGTGTGTGTGCTATTTCAACATGACTGATGAATTAACAAAACAAAACAAAAAATAAACTTGAGTTTTTTTTTTCTTACGTATTTTTCGAGCTTTGTAACTTTTAAAATGCACGGCAGTAAAAGGTTTTGGTACGTTTTTGTTCGGACGTTGTTCTTAGGTGATCTACATATTACCGTGCAAGTAGTGCCTTAACTTAAAGCTTCAGAAACAATGCCTCAAGTTGTCTAAGCGAGCGGGATCACAAAAGCTATAGAAAAACCATCCAGAATATCTAGTAGCCTTGTTGTGCAGAACGGGCTTGAAGCTATGCATAAGGCCTCAAATATATTATAAATTCACGCTGCCTTGTCACATTTGGATGGAACTAACGTATATGGGACTTTTTTTTATACAGGAGACAAGTATTTGTGACAAAACTGTGGAAATGAAAACGCCATTCCTCACAAACAGTGTGCCGCTTTTTGTAAAATACCCCATTTAATTGGGTGATGGCATTCAAAACCCAAAGAAATTGCGCATCATTTTCTTTAATCCAGCAATTTAATTAAGTTTTCAAATCTCATAAAAAATGGTACGTTTTCTAGCGGATGATAATCGCACAAAACCCGCAAACGCCTTTCATCGGCACCACTTATCTATTAGAAATGCCATGAACTCGTCCCCAAGCACAGGATGAAGAATGAGCTTAACTATCTAATGTGTGCGCGCGTGTGTGTGTGTTCATGATGGATAAATGAGTGCGATAGCGTTCGATACGCCGATGTTAGTGATGTTGGAAAGGAGACAGCTCGAATCCGTTGTCAGTGGGGAAAGGCTGCACCTTAAAGCCATCGAACAACTGGCGCGGTGGGGACACGGCGGGGTAGTCGAGTCTAAGAGACTCTGGCTTAGTCGGGTCGGTCGGAACCTCCAGTGTGGAGACTAACAGAAACTACAAGGGAAATAACTTGAACGAAGAGTCGGAACAATGTTTCTGCGAGACATTTGTTTGTTTGGGGGATTTCATCACCCACACCAAAGAAGGTATAAACACGAGACACGGAGTGTCCAACATATGCATGAAACCGCGCGGTCGCGCCGCCAGTGCATTGAACAAAAGACAGAACGCAGACGTTGTCCGAGTCACTCCGAGGCCTGTTTCTGCCCTGTACGACGGTCTTGTTACATCGGTCGTACAAGGCCGTCTGCAAATAGTTCGGGTCGTTATTTCTGCAGTGAACACTGTCTTTGTATGATGTACAAGCAGTGGGACGGCGACTTAAGGATGTTCAGACAAAGCGATGACAAGAAAGTAGTTAAGCATATCTGCTATGAATGTTCGCGCAAAATAGGAATAAAAAACCTTTCGCAATAAGTGGTAGTGTTTTCCTGCGTTGCCTGAACACACACACACACACACACACAAAATTAACAAACAAGTGCAAATGCCAAAAACGGCCAAAAAAGAGATACGTGTAAATGATGTCAGTGCATTCAACTTTTGAGCAAACATCTTCAATCACTGACGATGAGAAATTAAAAAGAAAAGTATCTACGTAAACTGCACGCAAGCGTCCCACCGCCTGCTTTCATTTTCTGAGATTATCAGTTTCACGCTGGGGCCCTAAACTCGTCAAACACAAAGTTCGGGCCGAAGTTGACGTAGCGCACCGATTGGACAACCACGACGATGACTTTGCGCTTTTGTCGCGGACGTCCAATCAGCGCGCTCCGTGAACTTTCGGCTTTAACTTTGTGTTTCACGAGTTTAGGGCTCCTGGTCGGGATTACCAGGCATGAAAATTGCATGACAAAACGCTTCTGACAACATGAGGCTCAGTAGAAACATTATTCCAATGTGCGTGGTTTCTTTACGCTTTTTACGTTTTTGTTTATATCAACCAGTTTTAGAAGTAGCTTCACAATCGCTGATTGCTGAAGAGTGCGTGAACTTTGATCTGCAGTATTCAAGTCCTGAGGTACTACAACCCAAATCTATACTACTGACAGGTGGTAAACAATAGCCCTGATATGAAAAAAACTTCACCGTTCAAATCGCAAATTCGACTCAGAAATGTCAGCGTCTACTAGGACGTCAGTGTTGTACATAACAACGCAGGTGCTCGAAATCAGATCTTTGGGAATAGCAATATTCTGGGCAATGGTGTACGGCATCTCGCTTATCTATAAGTTTGCATGACATGTTTCACAGCGACCTTGCTTTCCCGATTTAAAAAAAAGAAACAAACAAACAGATGGTGTTTAAGCGATTGGCACTGCATTCATCGGGAATTCAGGCCGTCTCTTTTGAAGATACATTGCTCTTCGCGTGACATGTGACATAGCATCACGATGCATGCCACGCGAGAATAATGTCCCGTAAAATTTCCTAATTGCTTGCGTGATTAAATTACCACTTCTCCATATATTGATAACACCATTGGAATGAAGGAATTATGGTCTAATTCCTTGCTTTCAAAGAGACTTTCCGAAAATCCATAAATTAATATTTCACGCCATTGACTAGCTGGTGCCTCTGTTCCTCATCCAGAGCAGCGAAGCTGCGACTACCATTAACTCCACGAGACTCGGTCGTTTCCTGGTGGTGCCAGACCTAACTCCTATAACAAAGACGTTCGCGTGATGCTCCCATCCATGCAGAGGCCGAGCACGACGTCCTGCGACACCGCCCTCTTCGCGAAATTCTTGCCTCTGGTAATTTCCAGAAACGTCAACGGCTACGTCACCGATTACATCGTGAGACACTTCGTCGACGTTATCGTCGTCGTCTTCGTTGTAATCTGGCGGTACCTCGGCGGTGAGCGGGATGACCGTAGGAGATGGGTGGGTTACCGTGATGGGGGGGAACTCTAGGCGGAGACACTGGCTGTTGCGGCTTGAGCGTCACGTTCAGAATAGAGATCTGCTCGTCCGAGACGATGAAGTCCTGCTTCGAAGTGTGAAAGCCAGGAGCCGTCACCTGCGGTTGTCCCAAGAAGCATTCAGTAACAACACCGTCGGCGGGAACGCGGCGCTGTTTTTGGCCATTGTTGTTCATCAATTAACAAGCACATTGCAAAAGGCCATAACAGGGAGTACATGGAGACATGGGATGGGCGTCATTTGAGAGCAGGGAAGCTGTGAGCAAGATATAATTTGAGGATCGGTTGAGGCAAATGGATGGGGAGCAATGGGCACGAAAGGTTTTCAGCTATTTATACATGAGGAGTATAGACAGAAAGTGGAGACAGCGTACTAGGAAATTAAGAGCAAAGCTTTTAGGCTATAGTGGAGTTACGGAAGAGCAGGTCTCAGTTAAGAAGAAAGTTAAGGCCACAGAAAAAGTTAAGGCCACAGAATAGCTTTCCATGGCAGTCAAAGACGGCCATGGAAAGCTATTCGCCTCGAGATCGAACCGTGTCGCCACCGTGCGGCCGAAATTGGAAACGCGCGAAAGCGGGGATACCGCCGTGCGTCGTCTCCTACGGGCGAACGCTCAGAAGCATGGATCTCGACGACGCAAGCCCGTTTCAGGCTGAGTTTGACATTCCTTATTAAATGTTTTATGTTTTTGTTGCCGTTTCTTCTTACTAAAGGTTGCGTTGTATCGTTTCCCATGCGTAAAAATTCAGCAAAGCCATTATTATTAAGGCGGAAGTTTCCACAATCTTAGTGTGCCGGTTTGTATACAATCGCTGGTCCCACGTAGTTTTGTTATCTCGCACAAACCGTGGCTTTCATAAAGTATTGAATGTTGAGTGGGTCTGTGGTCTGATTAGAAAATTAACCCGACTGATCGCTATCCTTTAATAAACTAATCAATCAATAAATTCAAATGTTGATTTTTTGCCGGTCATATTGCGTGAAAGACGTTAAAACTACACATTTTTTTACTGGTTTTACTATGTCATAAATGGCCATATTGCGTTCCCATTCAAAACTTCACGTTGTGAGTCCTACATAAATATGAACACGGGAGGCCTTTTAAAATGGAGTATTTTTTAAGGTATTATTTAAACAGTATAATCACCCCCGGTGAAATGACAAGCACGCTGAAGTAGTTTACCGTGCAAGCCAGTGTCACAAAAGAAATAAAGACGTCAAAAATATTAAAGTAGGCATTTTTTACTCCTTGTAGACTTTCTCCAGCACAAGACCGGCACATTAACCGGCAAAAAAAAAATGCAATTAAAGCATTACTTGAATAATCTGAAGGTTAATCGATGAACTGCCCAGTTTTGATATACGTTAGGTGAGGGCGGAGGGTGATCGGAAATTATCGTGAAGGTCGCTAGCCCTCATCAGTAAAAGAGTATCACTGCGGACGATGCTGTCTGTGTCGTGGTGCGCGTCGTTTGTTGGGGTTGCAGAGTCTACAGTGTTTGATTACAAGATTATTTAGCTAGAAATTTATAGTATTAGCCTCTTGACATCCGCGGCCCTCACCAAGAAAATTGAAGCGGGTGAACCCACACTACCGAGAAAAGAATTTAATAACAGGAACATTGCTGCATTGCTCGGTTACACCCGTTTATTACAGTCATGGATATTAGAACAGTTTGTTTCACTTGTTTCAGTTGTCCTGCCAACCGCGCAGTTTGCAGATCTTAACTAGGAGAGACACCCTGTCCTCATCGCAACGCAGTAGATTTTTTCAGACACCAAAAACCTTACCCACACTATGGCACAGTAAAAGGGCAGAGGAACGCAATTGCATGGTAATTTCTAATACAGCGCTAACTTATCTTTATTCCAAATATTTTTATTACTGCAAAAGCTAGAAGTTAAAAAAAAACATAGAAGCTGCGATTTCACAGCCCACAGTACCAGTATTATGTTACCTGTGTTGGAACCTATCTTTTTTTTAATTGCCACGTTGATGAACCGATACATTCATTTTAAAAGAAACAAATATTTAACTAAATAATCCAGTTCAGCCGGAGACAGGCATCAGTCGTGGTGATCCATGCTTTCCAACGTCTGTGGGTGCGTCGTCTGCCTAGAGCAGACGACGCACCCACAGATGCGATTATATAAATTTAGGCCGCACGCTGGCAACACGATTTGATCTTCGCTGAAGCAGCGAACAGTACCGCATCCTTTTCCGCAAGAATTGTTTTCCCACCCATAGTATGCGACAAAATAAACGCAAGAATATACGCCGTCTCGCGCGCGAACGTGGAGAGCCTATGAGGCGGCCGCTCTCCTATCCCCGCTTTGATGATGATGATAGCGCGACCGTAGCGCCACCTCTAGGTCGATCTCGAGGCCAATAGATTAAACAAAACAGTTATTGCCAAAGGAAGCAATTATGACAGTGCTAGGGAAAGCTCATCGTTGTTTGAGGTGAGGACGGGTGTTCTGCGAACCAGAACATACTGTGCGAAGTACCAGGAAATGCATACAGTGTGCACTGCTTGTGGAGAGGAGGACGAGACGGCTGAGCACTTGATACTCTACTGTAAAGGGCTTCATCCTATGTCTACCGAAGACAACATAGATTTAATAAAGTCATTGGGTTTTTGGAGACATCGGAGGAAGAGTGGATTTCAAGCCAGTAGAGATTACCAAGCAAAGATTGAGTAAATGGTGGCAGAAAGCAAGAGAAAACTAGGTATTTTCGTATTAACTGATGGCAAGGGGGTTTTATAGCCTCACTTTCTTTTCAGTTCGGAGGGAATATAGTTTTCACATTTAAATATTATAAGTTTAAATGGTAATACAAAATGGCTAGGTGGCGTAAGCTACCGCCATATCCAAAGGGCTCAGCCGGATTCATCCATCCTTCATACATCCGAGGATCGAGGGGGTGGACGGGGGAGGGAGAGGGGGGGAGTGGGGAGTAGCGGGTGCTTTTCTTGGCGCCGACGAACATTGCGGCGCCTCAATAATCGCACCATAAAACTCGAAGGAGCACTCAGCGACATTCAATTCGACATTCATGCTTTCGTATTCACATCTCGTAAGAAGTGCTTAGGTGTCCCGGAATTTTTTGTATGTTTCTTTCGTTGTCTTTTTTTTTGTGTTTTGTATTCGAAATCTACGGCTGTCTGTCTATGCTTGTTGTTCCTTCATAAAGGAAGCAGCTCTCTTAAATAGGAAAGCGTTATTTTCTAACATAAAGGACACTCTGCCATGGCGTGCAACTGGAACCTTGAAGAGTTATAGCCCTGTCAGACGGACTAGTTTAGTGTCACTGCAAGCGAGTGCACTTCAACCCGTCGAAACACACTCCTAGTGTGTTGGTGCTACACGGGAAAACTTAGTGTCACTTCAAAATGATGGCAATGACGATGGGTAAGTAATGGGCACGCAAAATATTAGAGTGCACACGCATTTTTTTCATAAATAACTTCGTCGTCTTATTGGAAACACGTTACCACACATTGTTAGGCTAACTCACGAGCTTTAATCCAAATTTAAATCCAATTTGATAATTACGAGCAGCCATTACAAGCCAGTGACACACGTCCGCATGCCGGTACGATGCTCATTCAGGTCGAAACGAGCAGGGGTAGGGATTGAACCTAGGATTCCTGGGCTCTGCAGCGCGAGCTTTCGCTCCGCGTGCTCCGAGCTGGTGTGCGCGAGTCCACTCGGCCACTCGCCACTCGCCACAACGAAACATCATGGAGTGTGTGGAGGACCAGCTGGAAGGCGATATCCGCGATGTTGGAAAACAAATGTCCCCTGTGAACCGAAAAAGCTTCATTATATCACATCACGTGGGCATGCCCTAAGATTCAGGCTGCCCCCCCCCCCCCCCCTCCCCCCAGTTCCCAACCCAAGCGCCGAGCAGTGGGAAGCTGCGCTGTCCAGCTGGGATCCGGACGACCAGCGTAATCTGGTCTCGCGGGCCCGTGCCGCAGCGACAGCTACAGGGGCCCTGGAATGAGGGCTCCTCTCGCCTCGGAACAGCCAAACTAATTGTTTATTAAAAGTTTTTTCTCTTTCTCTGGAAAAAGGAAGCGCGTGGTTGGGTCACTTTTCTCCGTGAGAGCCCAGCGCCTTTCAGATGAGAGGCATGCTAGACCTGGATGCCGACGCACAGGCAAGAATTTCAAGTGACATCGATCAGCAGCTGCAGGCCAATGCCTTCACCATACCCGCTCTCATGACCGACAACCTACCCGTGATCAGTCGAGAACGGTGGACTTTCCAGAGGAACGAACGGTGGTTCGAAGACACCTTGCCCCATTTGGGCGAGTTCCATTTCAAGCAAGCCTTTCGCGTCTCCCCTGCCACCTTCAGATTCCTGGTGAAGTCTTGCAGGTGCCTCCTTGCCGTCGCTGGCTGTCGCGCAGGGCCCAAGGCTGGAAACTAGTTTAGCCGCTTGTTTTTTCTACAATGCGCTACTTTCCTGCCAACAGAAAACAAGTGCGCATCTAATATCACTCCTATAAAAATAATACAAATTTTACGCAGCGTTAATTTCTTCTATTATTTTTACTGCTTGAACACAGCTATCGAGATTACACACTTGGTCTACCGGAGCGAGCGTAGTGTGCTCCCCGAACTCACTTAATTGGAAGTGTGTTCTTCGGACAGAACTGGGGATTGAGCTCAGGATCACTGGGATCTCTAGCGCGAGCTTTCTCTCCACGTACTCCGATCTGGCGGGCGCTAGCCCACTCGGCCACCGATACCCGTTAATAAAGACACATTAAAAATATTTGCCGTTTAAAATTCTCTGTAATGCCGAATGGGAGCGCAGCTCTTGAGGAGAAGGGGGGAAGGGTACGAAGGGGAGGGTATGCAGCTGCTCCCCCTCCGTACCCTCCCATCCTCCTCTCCTGTTCCCATCCCACTTAGCGTAAAACTTTCGATAAATTTCCCGTTAAATTAAGCCGGGAAATTTTCCCGCTGAATTGGCGTGTGACGCCACATGACACGTCACCTGAAATTATAAGTGTGACGTCACGTGACGTCACACGGGTAAAATTTTCCCTCTAGATTTAGCAGAAAAATTTTCCACCAAAC